GATGGTATCCCTAAAACCAGACAGAAGGCAACTCAAGTAAAGAGCATTAACCACAAAGCACAGCTCTGAGGTAGAAGAAATGCCTCTTATGTAGATCTGAAGACTGAGGCACAGAGATTAAATATTTATTCAGTATCATTTGAAAGGCAGTGGGGCATAGAAAGGATTTGATCTTAGCTCCGGACAACCTCAGTCTAGTGCTTGATAATGACCTTTTTATCAGCTCATAGGTTAAATGCCAAGAACACATGCAAAGCTCTTTCTTGTTCTGAAGAACCAAACATGAATAAACAGTAATGTTTTAGGCTCCATAGCCTGAAACAACTCTGTAACCTGAGGTGTTTTTTGCATGTGCAGGATGAAGTTGTGGATTTTAAATCAGTTTCCCATATAGCTGATCTAGTTCTTATCTACTCTCTTTCTTGTCGTATGCAAGATACTTTTAAAAACTCTTTAGTACAGTGACAGTTGACATTAGGAAAAAATGTATTTAGCATACTAGCATCTGTCTTACCAAAAGCATAAAAACAACAATTATTCTTAAGTAGAATGTATGTTTTATAGTTCACATGAGAGTTTTCTCGTGTGCTGTTGCAAATGTTGCCCATTTACGTGAGAACTTCTCTGGGAGCAGAGCAATGATCAAGTCCTGCAAGACCTTCTGAGCACTCACTGCTGTGAAAGTTGGAGGTGCAAGATGCTAAATCTAACTTCAGTCAGGTATGAGGATGAGGAAAGAAGATGAAAAGTTTTAGGGTGTCATACTCTGCCACATCAGTATGCAATTTATTGCTATTTGTTACTGTCCTATTGTCATCATTTAATTTTAATCAACCAAGACTTCACAATAATGTAATTGGGCTTTTAAATATGTCTGGGAGAAGCTCTGAGAGAGAGGTGCATTTTTTATACGTAGAAATTTGTTTGATTCTGGTCAGAACATATTAATTGTTGGTCCCCACTAAGCTGGATATTCGCCAAAGAATAAAAGCTCAGGAATAAAAGCAAAGCAGTTACCTTTAGTGGATTAATGTAGGAGAAATAAGATATTTCAGGTTCTTTAATACCCCCTCCTCCCTCCGTCCCAACTGTGTAGCTGTTTTATCCATTCAGTATGGGAGAGTCCTGCCTTGGATGCTTTTGGCAGTGACATCACCATTTAATCTTTCTTCTGTTCATTTGCAGCTACTTTGGAGCCGCAGTTCCTTTTTATGTCACTCCCCCAGTATTTAGAATTTGTAGTTTCCTCAGATAACTGGCCATCTTGACAAGAAAAGAGTGACACAATCAGCTGTCAGATACTTTTCATTCCTGACTTCCATGCCAAATCTGACATGTGGATATTGGGATAATAATGTGTTATCTTAATTAGGTGTATTCCATAACGTGTGGTTTATAACAGACAGAGCAAATGAAACTACTGCAGTGCCTTGCCAGGGTATCTTTGAAATGAGATTCCCTACTTAAGGGTTTTCTTCCTTCTTAAATAAATAAAGAGTAAACGAACAATTGCAGACTCCAAATCTGAATCCTAGCACTTCCTGTTAAACCTCACAAAATAGTGCAAGAAACATGTTTGGTCTGCTTTCCAAGGCTTGATGATGTGATAGGAAGGATGTTGTATGTAACATCAAAGAATGGTGTTGTTATACCTCTGAAGCATGACTTCTGGAAGTCCAAGTGAAATAATGTATGTTCTTTTTTTTTTTTTTTCTTTTGGACATGGCAGTTTTTAATAGGCTTGGATTCTTATCAGAAATGTTCCAACAATTTCCTTCATTGTGTTTGCATGTACTTTCTTTTTGACTAGCTAAATTTCTCTCACACTTCCCAAAGCCCTGTTAAGTTACTCCCTTCTGGGTTTAATTAAGAGCACTGCTGAGCAAATTGTGAGCTGCCAAAACCAGCCAACAAACCACTGGTGATGAGCGAACATTTCTGCTCTTTAAGCCCGTGCTGAACATTGCTATTTTTTTAATTCCAGCCCATGATGTTCAAGTGGAAAATGGTGAAGTCTGGGCTGTGGGCAGCCTGAGCAGTGTTTTGGACCTGAGTATACAGAGTCCTGGCAACGGATCGGTGTGGGTCATAGCTTTTGCATTTGAAGTCTATATATATATGGTAGGATGAAAGTGTTCCTGGCCCAGTGATCATTCTGGAAATTGACTTTGTGGAGCTGTACAGGATGATCTAGGACTGGAATGTAGATCTCAGGTTGGATATTAGAAAATATTTCTTCTCAGAAAAAATGGTGAGGCATTGGAACGGGCTGCTCAGGCTGGTGATTGAGTCACTGTCCCAGGAGCTGATCAAAAACCTTGTGGATGTGGCATTGCAGGACATGGTTAGTGGGTGGCTTGGTGGTGGGGGGTTGATGGTTGGACTAGGTGATATTAGAGGTCTTTTCCAAACTTCGTGATTTCGTGATTCTATGATCTGTGTGTTTATTTCTTACTGGAATTGATTAGAGACATACTTGTGAAAGACTATAAAATGTGAAGCTGTAGAGAGCCCTGCAGAAAAAATCAGTGAAACATCAATGATATTTCATAAGGCATGACTTGAATAATTTCTTCTCTGTGGTGTATATTGCATTTTCCTCCCTTTCCTCCTCCAAACATAGTCTGAAAGGAATGGATCTTATCTGTTGCAGCATGTCTGCACTGTTCTTTGTAAGGTGTTCTCATAATTGTCCTCAAACCCCAGTCCATTAATTGTCTACATGACACATCCATGCACATTATGAGAAATGTAAGGCAGGTCAGCACCTTTTCCAAGAGGGGAGATGCAAGCCCAGGGTTTCCTCAGCACAGTTTTATTAGTGACTAGCTCAGAGGCCTGCTGCAGCATTGTGCTCTCCTTAGCAGTGAGAAAGAGACGTTATGAAAACTAAAACCACTCAAATATCAAATGGAGACTCATGATATTTTAATAGCGATGAAGGATACTGGATTTCTTGTTACTGTCTCACAAATGGGTTGTGCATTAAAGGTGAAAGCAGGTAGCTGAGACTCCAAGTATTCCTGGTTATGCCACCGATTTTCTTCACAAACTGATTTTCTTCCACAAGTTCTTTATACACTCAGATCTTCCACTGCAAAAGGATCATAGAACTACAGAATCGTTTGAGTTGGAAGGGACCTTTACAAGTCATCTAGTCCAACTCCCCTGCAATGAACAGGGACATTTACAGCAAGAGGGTATCTATAGTCAAGACACAGTTATACTTATTCATAAATCCCACTGAGATCCTTGGATGAGATACCAAGGTCATGTCTACATTAAGAAAATACAGATGGCAAGAGTGGATCTTCAGGGTGGAACAGCCAACGGTTTCAAGAGGAAGGAGACTACTCTGTAATGCTAACCAAAACATGGTAGGTAGAGGCAGTGGGGTGGTTTGCTTCAAAAGTGTCTTCTGAATATGAATACAAATGCAGGGATAGACATACCCGAAGTATCTTGGGTTTAATTTGAAGAATAGATGGACTATATTGAAGACCAGAAACACATGTAATATGCTGTAATATGCTGGAAATCAGTTTAATCTTACATCTTCATGTGTGAGTGCTCATGATAAGTTTTTGCTAGAGCTTTGAGCCAGCTTCACCAGATGCAGGACAAAGAAGTACAGAATAGCAAAGGGGAGACTGTTTGGAAAGAAAATAATAAAATGGTAAAGAGTCTGCTGGTCAGGGATTGTGGGGGACCTGCTTCTACAGATTCCTGTTTACTCAGTGCAGAACCTCTCCAGCTGGAAACATGAAGACATGCCAAACATAGCCACAGATGTGCTTGTTATGAAGGAGAGTGTGGAGAAGGGCCTTGAACCTAGTTCTTCCATATCCTGTCCCTAGGGAGGGCACTCACCACCAGCTTTTGGAGCTGGCAGGCAGGTCTACTTGCTGTAAGTCCTCTGCTGATGAGTGCTAATCCCACCTTGAAGCAGACTTAATCTTTCCCAGGAGACATTATATTAAAAGCAGTAAATTCCTATAATAAGTTGGGGTTTCAGAAAATCAGTATTTGCTAATACAGAAATATTTATTTGAAAAAATCCCAGCTTATTTTTGGTGTTTCAGTCACAGAAGCCACTTTGTACCTCCCTTGCAATGCCCCAGTGAAGGTTGTGTGCTTGGTCTCCTCTGGATCCCACAAGCACATCATTTAGCAGTGTGTTGCATGTCTGCATTTCTGTAGTAGCTGCTAGCTGTAACTATGGAGGAGGGCTAACGTGATGTTAAGCATGTTGCAAACTAAAAAGCTTTGTGGTGATCCCCAAGATGTTTGTTATCTAAATATATTCAAAAAGCTGGAAATGGGAAGTGCAGATAGAGTGTGTGTGTACACGCAGTGGTGAAGCAAGAAAGCACTAGATATAAATGACATTTTAAATATATTGCATGTCAAATCTTCTTACATGTAGTGTGGAATGGGAGAATTCTAAAAAAAAGTTTTGAAATGATGTAATGATTGATGAAGATATTCTAAACTAAGGGACTAAGTCAGCAAGAATATTAAATGCCTTAATGAATTCTAGAGAACAGTACTCTGAGAAAAGGTTTCACTGATGATTTAAAATGGGTTGTGAATTTCTTGCAGATCTCATTTTAATGTGGATGTTACTTAAGAAGGATGTGGAAAGGCACAACAAGCTATCTCCTTAAATGCAAATAGCTATATTTGCATACTATTGCTTTGTTAGGTGCAAACTACTGCATAAGCTCCTCCTGCCAAGCAGGTTGATCCAGGTCATGTGTAGGTAGGTGATGTCTTATAATTCAATTAGCCAAACTTAATCCAGAAAACACCTATGCGATGCTGTAATTGATGATGAAGGTGAAATAAGTGATCAGCCTACTAATACTCCATCCATCCTATATCTGATGAATAGTAAAGTGCTGTGTGCTTGCTTTATAAAATTTGTCCCTTATAATGAATGCAGTCCCCTTGTTTCTTTTATGCTTTTTTTCTTTTTTTTTTTAAAAAAATATCTTTAGGTTAGAGCTGTTCATGTTGCTGGAGAATGAGCACATCTTTGAACCAGAGACAAACAACGAATCTTTCTCCTTCTCACATCCTCTACCCTATGAGAAGGTAACATCTTTTCTGTCAGTTCTATCCTTGTTTAATCAGCAAATATATTGGGTGATTTAGAATGAGCTCAACATGAATGAACATTTATTCATTTAATGTGGCTGAGAAGAAAGAAAAAAGTGGTCAGGTACAATTTAAATTAAAAGATGACTAGAGAACTTCCAGGGACAGCTGTCATAAATCATAATGCCATTCAGAGGCTGAGAGTTGCACAAGAGTGCTGGCAAAGCACGTCCTTCTTCAAATAGGCTGTTCCAGTCCTTTCTTTCCCAACTTCTCTACAAACAGCAGATTATAATATTTAATTCTGTATCAGATAGCACCTCTGTGAGTGATTACTATTTGTAAAAGTTTTCAAACTTGAAAAGCATATAGCATTTTTGCTATGATAGGTGACTAAAGGATTTTTAGGAATAGTAAACATTAAGTGTGGTAAAAGAAAATCACGTGTTACCAAAACAAGACTGGTAATTGAGCTCAAGCAGTCTATACAGGCACAACTGGGAAGTCATCATATATCACTGAAGATTGGTCTGCACATGGAAATTTTGCTGACAAAACAACAATGAGATTGAACAGGGCAATTATGCATGGGATGAGGTGTCAAAGGACAAATAGGAATTCCTATGGAAAAGGATGGAAGCTCAGTTGATGGCTGATGCCAGTTTTATTGCATTTTTCTGCACTGTTTCATAATGCAATTACCACTTAGAAACAGAGTGGAAAATCTCACCGCTAGGCCGATGTAACTGACATTGTCTTAATAGAGACACAGTTAGTTACACTAAGAAAAAAAAACCTTTTTCTAAAGTACAGAGCGTTTTATTTTGAGTGCTAGTTTAAGCTTGATTGGCAGAAGAATTTAAAAAGGACAAGCTCTGCCAGAGTAGCTCTCCTAGAAAACTTTTTCTTAGAGACAAACTGGAAGGCTTTTGAACTGTGGATTCTAATGTGCAGTGCAAAAAGAAAGAGAAATGGATTCTTGCCTGTTCCAGATAACAGTGGAGAAGCTGCCCAAGCCGTCGCGCCTGGCCATGCTGCTGAATTGCTACACTACAGATCCCCGGTATCAGCAACTCTTCATCAATCTGGTAAGGCTGAAGCCAACTCTAAAAACAAACATTTCCTCCATGAACAATGTGTTTGTTATATTTTCTCATTTGTTTATGATGGCTGTGTCAGCCGCACTGATTTACATAAACACTGCCAATCCTGGGACGTTACACTCTCAACAAAAGTAGCTGAGTACAAACAGCATTCCGAAGTTTTAATTCATATTGTATAAACATAACAGATGTTGATAAAATGAGCCAAAAAGAAAATACAACAAAGGAGACCATTTCAAGGGGGCTTTTGATTAAAATACATTCCAGATTGACAAAATGATACAATGTTAATGGAATAGATCATTTAAATGTCACTGTTTGGCTCTTATAGACCTATAAAGCAAATATAAAGCAATGCTTTTGAGTTTTTAGTCTCCATTACGCTGCAGTGCCTATACATCAACTTATAAATAAAGCTGTATTTCTTCCCCCTTTCCTTTTTTTTTTTTTTTTTTTTAAATCCCTGCTATGACATTACCACATTTGTTTCCTAAATACTGTACTAAAATACTGGGTCCAAAAGCAATAATGTGTTTGGTATACTGAGCAAGCCCTAAAATAAATACGTTATAAACAAAATAAATGTAGTGTTCTGCCTCAACACTGAAAATGAAGTAGCGGGCACAGCGAGAAATCTAGATGAGAGAGAGTCTAAATCAGATGGGTTTTATTTAAAAAGATAATACCAGCTCATGTTCAATGAAGATTAGGATCCATTTAGTCTAGATTCCTCATTTTGAGACAGCTATCAGGAAAGAAAGGTTACAAGAACCACAATGCTCCTAAAACTCATTATCTAGTTTTGTTCAAAAGTTTTTTTTCATAGATGGAGAAACTGAGGTGGAGAGAGAACACGTGGCTTTCCAAAGTTCAAAAGCACGCCATACACAGGAGTAGAAGCTAGCTCTGTTGGGACTGAATCCAGTGCTTGAGTTATTGGGCAGACAACATTTTTTGCCATGGGTAACCCATTCAGTTCAATCAAGTTGCTCATTGCTACCTAACTTTTTGTACCTTATGTGATCCCTGAAGCAGAAAGCTTAGCATCTCTTCCAAAAACTTGTTATTCCTCATGAAAGGTCTTTTTATGGCATCCACAGAAATATTCATTCTGAAATTTTTGGGCTTAATGATTTCCTGTGGCAGTGAATTCCACAGCAAAAATGTATGTGGCATAGAAGAAATGAAACATTTCTGCTTTTTTTTTTTTCTTTTTTTCTCCTTACGTCTTTGAATATTTCCTCAGTTCTGTAAATGAAAGGGTAAGGATGGACATGTCACCCTATACTATGCATTTACTTGTATTATTTTATCATCTTTTTGTTTCATTTTTCCACTGGGAAAGAGTACACTGGGAAGCATAATATACCTTCCCAGACAGAAAGTGTCCAAGGCACAAGAAGGATGCTGTATAATTACGTGAAAAGTAAAAACTTAGTGAACATCTATACAAGCTGTAAAGAGCAGCTCGGTTAACAATGAAATTAGTTTAGCTGCATTCCTATCAAATGATAGACCTTATTGCTTTCTGTGACCAGAATTCAGTACTTGCAGTCCTCTTCTTCTCAGAGCCGTGTGATTGTTTTCTTTGCCCTCTTCTTCACAGTCTGTGTTTCTACGTGAATTGACTTTTATAAGCATTTACTGAAAAATATTACAGGATATAAGAAATGGTTGTGCAATGAAATATCAACTATAAAACATCTAAGACTTAAGAAATATTGGGATCATTGGCTATTTCCAAGTAAAAACTCAGACCACGTCAGTTTGGAAAGTTCTAGTCATAAAAGCTCATGTACAGTAAACCTGATGGTTTAGCAAAAAAAAGAAAGTGTTTTTTTACTGTGGTATCTCCTGACATTCTGAGTATAACTGGGGATGGGAAACATGAGAGAAAAACAAGCATCCCTCAGGTTTAGTGCCTCTCCCACCCTGGCCTCTGCTTGCTGTCTCCCCCATAGCAGTGATGCACTCACATTTTCCTATTCTCCCCATGTCTCCCCTCTTTGTCTTACAGGAGCCATACATAAACAAATCGGCCATGTCAGTCCAAGCCCACTTCTCACTGCAGCGCACGTACATCATCTTTCGCACCCTGGGGCTGCGCCATCTCACTGTGGTCGACTTGCAGAACCGAGTGGTTGGTGTGATCACCAGGAAGGACCTGATGCCTCTCCCCTTGGGGAAGAGGCTCAGGCTCCAGCTGTCTGCACACAGCCCTGATGGGGGAGAGTAGCCTCTGGATTTAAGGCAGTGGAGAGTGGATTTAAGGCTATGGATGCATTCTTGGGATTTGTCGCTTCTTTCTGAGCTCATGCTTCTTCAGGAAAAAATAATCAGAGCTTTTGCACTTGATCCCTTCTGGAGAAGAGATGCTTAAAAGCTGTTGTAACTAGACATGTGGGGTTGTAGCCTAGAGCTACGTCTCTACAGCTGTTTGGTGATTGCAAAATTCATTGACTTAAATGCTTGCAAGGCAGAATATGAATTCATGTATTTATGAAAGATGCATATAAAATCAGATCTGTAGGATGGATGTTAAGCAGTCTTTTGTCACACTGTATCTATGCCTCCCGATGAAAAAATGTCATGATCCCTAGCAGCAAAGTTATGCTGGCAAAACCTTTGAGCTAGGACTAAATTTCCAACCACTGAACATCTGCTTCCAAACCAGCATTTTTATGTCGAAGCATGTAAGTTTAATTGAAAGGAAATACTGCCTTGAGAGAAGCAGCCCATTGAAAGGAACAGGGGATTGGGCTTTCGTATTGGCCTATGTGTTACTGCAATCCAAAGGGAGAATTGAAAGTGAATGAGAAACCTGACATGCCTTTCTATTGCTTACAGTTCTTTAATTTCTTGACTGCTAGAATAGGCTCTTTTCTCTCTTTTAACCTGATAAGAGAACATTTTTAGTTCAGGTCATGTGTAGGGAGGTATGTAACAAATTCTCATGATGGGGACATAGCATGATAAATTGTCAGAGCAGTTTTTGATAGCAGCATATTTAGAACCTAGAAAAAAAAAGTAAATAATTCGTCATGATTTTGTAGCCATGCAGTGTTTGAAAGTTTGGAAAGGGTCAGTTGTTAATAAATTAATGGGAACAATTTTTTGGATGAAGACACTGTTAGATCTCCTTCTATGACTTCACAATTGATGTTTAATTTTATTCTGTTAAATACCAGAGGGATTCACACAGCTTTGAATATCAAAACCTAGTATGCACAAAGGAATTCACCACTATTAATGCTGTTATAATGAATATCAAGAAAAAACAGTAATAATTTACTGTTTCTAAAAAGTTGCCAAGTTCCTGAAAATGAATTTCTGGTATTTGAATCACGCAGCTTTGAGTCTCTTATGAATCAAAGATTTGTTGGATTTTCTCCTATTTTCCCTGCTGGATCTTGTCTTAATTAACAATAATGTTGCTTTTGTAGCACCACAGAGAATGCGCAGTTCTTTAAAACCGAAGTGTCCAAGTCAATGCAAACAGCTGGCAGACCAGAAATGTATGTAGGTACATGAGAGAAGCTCTTTAAATGATCAGTTAAAATATGGTCATGTACAAGACGAGAAATGCCTTCTCAGTCATCCACCCAAGAGGCACAGAGCTAGATGTGTATTCAGATCATGTTACAGTTAGTAATATCTTGTTCATCAGCATTTTAGTAAGGTTGCTGTCACTGTCAGCCTATGCCTCATCTACCCAAAGAATGCAAAAAAATTCTTGAAGGAATTAGGCCCAATGAGTCCAGAGTTTTACTGGCTGATGGTGCTAGCAGAATAGGAGATCTAATCTAAAGAGATTTAGGGATTTCCCTTAAACACAGCAAGAATCAACTTCTCTTCTGATAATCAAATCTGAATAACCTCGTTGTGAATTTGTGGTTTTGTTTAAAAACTGTTGATTTCCTTTTCATTATCTCCTGTGTATACAAAGCACACAGAGGTCTGGGTAATGTAATTGCTTTTTGCTGACAGTATCTGTGGCTAAATGTCTCAGTGCAATCTGTAGTCAGAGTGTACTGTGCTGGAGACAGCTGGGATATCAGTAACTCATTACCTGGCTTTGAACAGGTCACTTAAATGCTTGGCATATCATTTTCTCTGCCTTTAAAATTGAAATGATAATATGGACCCACCACAGCTCCTGTGAAAAATGTGAAAAATATTATAAGAATATAAACTATTTATAATAATACCAATAAAGCCAATTATAAAAGACATGGTGAGAATCCCTCTGTCCTGTGCCAACAAGTACGATTTCTAATGAAAAGTTCACACAACTTACATGGAACATCTTGTAACTATATTGTTAACTAGTGGAAGAAGACACACTACATTCTGCCATTATCTAGTTATGCAGCTAGATGATTTTTTATTTTATTTTTCTTTTATTTAATATATGTGTGTTCATGAAGATGACACAGAATTCCTCCCCCAGGACTTCTTGAAACAAGTGGCTCCCTCAGTATTCCTGACTACAGTGACAAATCCATCTCATCGTAAACGATAATAGTGTAATACATATAGAAACATGAAAATAGATGAAATCTGTAGGAAACTTTTCATCAGTATATGTTTCCCATGATGCACATATAAAATAGGTCTCTAAGGAATGGCAGCAACAAGTAGACACATCATTTAATTCCTTGGCACAAGATACTTCTGTTTTTCTTGACTGCTAATAGTGAGTGGTAAATTTTCTGCTATTCCGTCGGTTGACCTGAAATAAGGACTTAATATTTAAAACAAAAATACTAGTTTTATGAAAAATACAAGTTGTTTATCATTTCTCACAATTTCTGAGCACAAATCTCTGTGACAGAGTTTTAAACAAAATCCAAGTCACAAGGATCACATATTTTTGGTTTGTGCTATGCATCTATACCTCTTTCATCTCACTCTCTGTGATGGTGTTTTTCCTAATGTTTCTTACTTTCTTAAGCTTAAATTTAGCTTAAAAAACAGGCAGACTGAAATTTAGATCTGGGTTTGAACTGCAGTGATGCAAATTTCCCACTATTCAATTAAAACATTGCTGTGAATAAGTATAAACTATCCTGAGGGCTTTTTGTAGCATGCAAACTTAACGTATTGTTTTTTAGATATCCTGTAAAGTGCATATTTTTATCTAATGTATGTACCCTTCCTAGTATTTTTTTTTAGTTGTGTGATAATTACATACATTGGAATTAACTGCTGTGCATTTTTAAATTGCACGGTTTATCATGCTGTAGAACCCTCTAATGTTTCTTGATTTCCCACTTATTCTTGCTTACATTTTTAAATTTGACTTTTGTCCTTCCTTAATTGCATTTATTTGCTGACCATGGATGAAGGAGTCTAAAGGAGGGAAAACAGATGAAGAAATTCTTAGTACGTACTTTATACAGAAACGATGACTTTAAGGAAACCAACATTGCTAAAGGTACCTGTAATAGGATATGGTCTTTTACCTCAAGACTGAGATAGCCTTGTGCCAAAAAACTAAACAGGAATGGAAATGTAACCAACTGTAACCAACTGTACTGTGAGCAGTGCCTGGAAAATCACAAATGAGGAAATGCTGCAGAATGTTACTGTTGTCTCCGCTGAATCTTTTCACATAGCTTCAGTTAACAAGGCTGTCAGTGTACCTCTGGTGATCATGAAATCACTTAATGAAATGAAATGTAACCAGCTCTCAAACAGTCTAGTGGTTAATTAAGTGTGACCATCAAGTCATGGGAATCATAGCAGTATACAAGAGAATGCTTGTTCATTCCTGAAAGGCCTAGGCAAGAGGAAATACATGATCAGCACAGTTATCTAGATGTCTAACACAGTGTAGCATGGGAACGCTGGCATCAAGGTTCAAACACTTGGAGGAGTTACTGCTGCTTACTCAGGTTCTGAAAGAACCAGAATATTTGTGATTGTTAACAGATAGCTAGTATCCTTGTGAGGGGCCAAAGCACTGGAATGGTTGAGTGACTTGCAGTAACTCATGAATCTGGCTAATCTTGCTTATCTGGAATCACAGATTCTGTGCAAAGCCTCCAAATTGAGTCACTCAGGACATTCCTTAGAATTCCTTTCTCCTGAGAAACTGTGGGAAATTACCAGGTTCTGCTATTTTATTTTGAAGGAGATGCACAAGAATTCATACTTTGTGGGGCAGCTTATATTTGCAAAGAGCTCTGTAGATAACAAGTCCCACGGTTTCTGCTGTGATTATGTTATAACCACCCCTCTTGGGTATGATGGAGATGAGATGTGGATATGAAGTAGGCTACTGAGGACAATAAAGTCAATCTGTAGCAAATCTGAAAGGTGAACTTTGAACTCCTGATGTCTTTTCATCTCAGTACAAATCTCTTACTTGTGAAGCAGATCAAGGGAAGGCATGACAGCTCCACCCAAGTTGTGTGCTGTGCAGCTAGACCTTTCCCATTTTGCCCATCTTGACACACAAGAGAGAAGTGTGTCTGCTTGTGTGATGGCTGTCCTTGGTTTATAGAACACATTATGTAGGGATGGCTGTAGGGCACCTATTTGGGAGGCACTGTACAGACCTGTAAGCACCCTCAGAGAACAGACAGGAAGCTTCCCTGAGCTATAGCAGGTCAGCACAGGGACTACTGCTGAGTCTGCACTGCAAGTGCATGAGGTATGGGTTTTCTGTGAAAGCATGAGATGGAAAGCAATAGATGCACTCAAGAGGTCTGGTATATACATGATGTATGCTTGTATGCAGTTAAGGAACCTAATCATTCTTTGACAAACATTTGTAATTTAGAAGGTAAGAAGCATAAGCACTGGATGAGGATTTGTTTCCATTTAGGAAAACAGAAAGGGAAACAAACTATTTGTATCTGGAACTTCATTACCTTACAACCACGTGCCTGCCACCTGAAGACACTTTTTCAATCCTTCTGGGGATAAGCAATGGGATGGAAATGATTTTGATGAAAGCTATGGATTGAGAACAGGGAGCAAAGATAAAACAAACAGAAAAGATGTAAAATACAAGTAGCTTGCTGAATCAAGCACCTAAGGTAGCTGTATCTTAGAGGACATACAAATACAAAGCAGTAATATTTATCTAAAAAGCCAACAACACTATAAACCATAAACAAAAATATCATGACATTTCTTTAAGCCAACAGGACTGATTGGATCTTTGTCAAAGATCTTTCTTGCTTCTTGTCTTTAAAGTGAAGAATGTCTAAAACTGGTAGATTTTTGAATCAAGAAAGCTGTTTTTCATAGAATCAAAGAATAATTTATGTTGGAAAACATCAGACCTCAGGAGGTTGTCTTGTCCAACTCCACACTCAAAAGAGGTCTGATTGAATCGGGTTGCTCAGGGTCATACCCTCTCAAGCTCTAGATATTTCCTAAGATAGAGATCTCACACCTTCTACTTCAGTATTTGACCACTTCCATGTTATTTTTTTTTCTTGTTATGTAATTTGAATTTCCCATGTTCCTGCTCATGTCTGTTGACTGTCACTGTGCATCTACAAGAACATTCTGCCTCCATCTTTGTACCCTGAGGTCAGGTAGGTGCTGCAGACAGGAGTCCTCTGAGCCTTCTATTCTTCAAACTGAGCAGACTCAGCTCTCTAAGCTTAACCTCACAACTGTGCTCCAGCCCTCAGTCAGTTTGCAGCCCACTGCTGGACTTGCTCTGCATGTCTATTTTTTCTGTACTGTAGAATCTTCCTATCACACCCAAATCGATTTGTGCAGGTGCCATATTAATCTTATTTCAATTTTAGTATATATGCTGTCAAAGAGTGCATGAACTTCTTTATGACATAAAATAGAACAATGATTTTTTTAAAGAGAAGAACCATAGAATCGTAGTATCATAGAATTATTTGTGTAAAATCATCTACTTCTAACCCCCTGCTATAGGCAGGGTCACCTCCCACTAGACCAGGTTGCTCAAAGCCCCATCCAGCCTAGCCTTGAATGCTTCCAGGGAGGGGGAATTCACAGGCTCTCTGGGCAACCTGTTCCAGCGTCTCACCATCCTCACAGTAAAAAATTTCTTCCTAATATCTAGTCTAAATCTACCCTCTTCCAGTTTATAACCATTTCCTCTTGAAATGTTGAGACAATAGCAAATAAGATTTTTAAACGCTGTTCTGTCTTATTCTGTGTTACACACTGTTTCCTTATGTTCTGGTCCTTCAGCCCACAGATTTCAGTGGCTTCCTGCACTGTGTTCCCTTAATACCCTCCTAGCATCCTGGGAGAAATGCTTATACTGCCGTGAGCATTTGGTTCTGAATGTGCTCCCTGCCTCCCAGAGCTCTCCTCTCACTGTCGCAGGCCCCTTGTGCTTTTCTTCACTCT